AACTCCAATGTTGTTGTTAGTCTAGGGGACCTTAGGTTTGGATAAGTATTCCTCCTCTTCCTAATTGGCATTTTAGGAAGGAGAGAATTTTGTTGTTATAGACACCTGTCACATCAAGTAGCATACAATGTCCCAAATCCTACCAAAATCAAAGGCAGAACCCTGAAAGAAGGCTGAGGGATCTACCCTTCCAAGTGCATAAGTCTCCAAGAAATGGATCCTCTGTTGTCACAGAGGTAAGCTGTGTTTTGGCAGACAAATTTCTCATACCCTTTCCTACAGTTGTCTGAGTTGATGAGAACTGATTCTGGTAGGGAATTGAAACAGTAGCTATCAAAATGCAGAAAGTGTAGCTAAATCAGCACTCCAAATAAAACCCTTGACTAAAGGCCCCAAGGAATCATGCATATCAGAATATCTGAATTAATAGAGCCCTATATATAGTGATTTCCTATTCCTGTTGATTTAAGACATGGTAATATTTTTTTCTAAGCAAATTATATCATATCCCAGACACTTACATTGTTTAAAGAAAGGACAATTAGTGAGGCAGATAGGAACCTATGCCCAAGAACAGAGTGATCTCAACAGAATTCTGTCCCACCATAGTTGATAGATTGTAGAGGGAAAATGGGTGAATTGAATGTCTTTAAGTTCCTCCTTTGTGATAACAGGGACACAAGTATTTAGTATGATGGAATATTAGTTCAACAAAGGGGAAGGGGCTATATATATATATAGATATATAGATATATATACATATATCTATGTATATACATATAGACACACATACATATATATACACACATACATACATACATACATACATACATACATACATACACACACACACATCAAGTTAACAATGAGTGCCCCATACAGTTAAGTATAGAAATGATAACAAATTAACTGCCCTGATACTCTATTCATTCCTTTAGATAATTCAAATAGGATAGTACATGAGCAGCTTAATTCATGTACCTCTGAGAGAGGAGGTAGTAATCTTCTGACATAGATAAGCTTCCAATGGAGGAGATAAACCTATTTGGTTCTAAATAAGTCTCCTTGACTATTGAGGGGATAACCATACCAAACAAAAATTCTGTGGAGTTTAGTTTCTGCCTTTGACCCAAAGAATTTCCAAATTAGGGGGAGCTTCCCATTTTACTCTTAAATTTCTAAAAAGGTATGGTTTTTTGTCTTAAGGAAACAGGTTTTAATTTTTTTTTGAAAATTTCACTGAATTTTGATCATATTCCCCCTTCCCCCAATTCCTCCCAGATCCAACCTCCTTCCCTCCCTATCCAACTTTGTGTACTCTTTTTATTTTTAACAAATTAAGTACTATTTATGCCACCATGTAGTTTTGAGGGTATGTGGCCATCCATGGGATTATGGTCAACCTACCAGAGTACTATATACCCTTAAAGAAAACAGACTCTTCAATACCAGTAGCTATCAGTTACCTATAATTCCTCAACTACAAGTAGGACTTCATACCCACCTTTGAGGGGGTAGTTTTTGTTATGGCACAGAATGTAGCATCAGATTCCATGTTGATCATACTTGTGGAGATTGTAGACCTTTATTTCATTTAGAAAATAAGTTGGAACTACAGACCAAATATATGTTTACTATGAACCCTGATAAATTTCATGTTGGGTTGGCTAGCACTCAGGGTCTCTTATTTTCCCCTACCTGTTTTTTCCTGTGAACCTTTATCACATGCTGTAAGCAGAGTATTCCTGTCCCAGCAGCTGCTTCCAAATCAACACACAGAGGCTTATATTAATTATAAATGCTATCCCGATAGCTCAGACTTACTACTAACTAGCTCTTATATTTAAAGTTAACCTATATACCTTATTTACACTCTGCCACATGTCAGTACCTTCATTAGTATGGCTAATATTCATCTCCTGCTCCCTCTGCATCTGGCTGGCAACTCCTCTGACTCTGCCCTTCTTGTTCCCAGCCTCCTCTGTTTGGCTATCCCACCTATACTTCCTGTCTAGCTACCAGCCAGTCAACTTTTTATTATCAATGAGAGCAATACATATTTACAGTGTACAGAAGGAATATTCCACAGCATTTCCCCCTTTTTGTCTAATTAAAAAGAAAGGTTTTAACTTTAGCATAGTAAAATTTATATACAAAATAACAGTTATTTATAATTACAGTTACAATATCCAGTCCATTTGTATTTGATAAAATTAGAAAAAAATATTCAATTATCTATCCTGTCTTAGTAAGTCTAAAGTTTTGTACCTAATTTACTTTCTATCCTAACTAAGGAAAACTTTTAACTATGACTATCTACTCTTCAACTCCATCAAATACCCCAGAACGTGAATTGTTACTTAATGACAGGGATATCTTGCTGTCTGGACAGTCACCCAAAGTTCTTCTTTAAGGTTGTGGCATCCATCTTTGGCTCACAGACCTAGTATATCTGGCAGACTTTTTTTCAGAAGCAGGAAATTTTGAAGAACTGTCCTACCTTGTCTTGGCAAAGTTTGGTAGTCACTTTCTTTTGCATCTTGCTGGTCCAGTTTGAACAGTATAACTGTCAGCAGTTGAGGCCAGGGCAGTTTCTTTGCTCATATGACTAGCTTTTGCCATAAAGAAAATAAACTCCATATGGAGTTTGTTCAGTGCCCATCATCCTCTTTAAAATAATTGATGCTGCCAGGAACAGGTGTGTCTCACTGTCATGAAAAGCCTTAGGTTATTAAACATATTAAAATGCCATATTCTGTAGATCTTTGAAGTGTTTGAAGACCATCTATCTACCTAAGTATATCTGGTGTGTGGCCTTGAAAACATATCTAACATGACTATAAGTTTGAATAGTATAAATGATTATTAATCTGTATTTCTTAATTATACATTAAATGTTTAAATGAGCTGCATAAGCATAATACCCCAAACAAGAGTAGAAACATATGTACAGTATAACAGAAATAACTTTGAATTTGTATCAATAAACCAAAATTCATACCAATGTAAAATATTTAAGATTAATTTTTTTATTAATCTACCCATTTCCCCTATCGTTTCTATAGCCCCCCTTTTTCTTTTCAGGAAAAGATCCTTGAATCTAATCTCCTTTGTTTAGCTTTTTTTCCTGACCATTATCCATAACAACTTGTAACCAACCCTCCTTAAATGATAGTAAATATCCATAACCCATTTTGGAGAAATGTGGGCATAGTTTTCTAGACTACTTTCTGCTAATTGAGGGCACTGGTATTCTTTGGGGGCACCCTGAGAAAATTTAAGACCCTGAAAAAATTGTTAAGTCTTGGCTGTAGTATTCTGTGAGGCTGGATCATCTCAGTAGAGCAGCCTTGAAGCTGTTTTGGATGCTGGATCAACTGGACCATCCATTTTCATTGTTGTCTGGTCCCACTGCTCTGAAAATACATAAACATTTAAAGGTAACATACATATCTGCATTAATACAAGTATGGACTGTATATTGTACATAAATCAGCCAAAGATGATTTTTTTTTGTTTTATGTTTGAGCAGGTAAAATATACATCATGTGTCTTATAGTTCTTTTAGGTTTATTTTTTTATGTTTGTAGCCAGGATTTTCAGGGGCCTTTTTCAATCAAACCTTATTTTCCTTAACCTGGAATGAATCCATAGCTTCTCATTTCCTGTGAAAACAAAATCATAACCTCTCTCCCAAAGTAACTTATCTTTTGACTTAAATTTTGAAGTCAAGATGCTTTTAAAATATATAGGTTGGTTTAAACCAGCACTTTCCATAATCCAATGTCTATTAGCAGCCAAAAAAATTTCAAAGACAACACAATAACATACAGGATCTAGACTCTCTCTGTATTTTCCATTTTTACGTGGCTTTTTTTATTACTTTACTCCCTTTAAAGACTTTATTATTTTAAAACTATATGTTTTTTATGACTATCTATACCTTCTCTTTTCTCTCCTAAGCCTATGTATATTTTTAAACACATTGTAACTCATTTAGAGGTTTTTCTTTTTCATCTGAATCTGTCTTTACTGAATATAACTTTTTCTGACCACATGAGTCTTTAAACTGTTAAGTGACATGGCTAGGACCTTTGCCACTGCCCTGGTGGCTGGCTGTGCCCCACTTGGTTCACTGAGAAACCAGCTTTATGGTGGAGGCACTGACGAGAGCCACGTTCACATCCCCAACTCTGGGGAGCATCTGGGTCTGAGCAGCATGCCACAAACCCTATCCAAATGTTTGGTAGCAGGGCCTCTCAAAAGAGCCATGCCATTTATTGCCACTAGCACTGAGACAGGAAGCCGTCTCTTAAAGGAGCCTTTCCTCTGCTAGCAACTAGCAAACAGCCTACCCGAGAAAAGACGGTTACCAAGAAGCCGCACTTGGCTCTATTCCTCTGTGTGTTTAGAATCCTTTTTTTTTAAAGCTTTCTCAGGTTTTATGTGGAAATTTTTGCTGAACATTTGGGTACCATATGTGGACGGAGTTTTCCTGCTGCAGCAGCCACTTCCAAATTACCATACAGAGGCTTATGTTAATTGTAAATGCTCTGCCAATAGCTCAGACTTATTACTAACTAGCTCTTATATTTCAAGTTAACCCATATTCCTTATTTACACCCTGCCACATGGTGGTACCTTTATTAGCATGGCTCATTCATATCCTGTTCCCTCTGTGTCTGGCTGGTGACTCCTTTGACTCTGCCTTTCTTGTTCCCAGCCTCCTCTGTGTCTGGCTGTCCCACCTATACTTCCTGTCTAGCTACTTGCCAGTCAGCTTTTTATTATCGATGAAAACAATACATATTTACAGTGTACAGAATTATTCTACAACAACATGATTTTCAGAAGTCCATTGGAAGTGGCTTTTATCACAGTTACTATAATTGATTTTACTAGCTGATTACCTCACATCCTCCCTTTTTCTTTCAAACAGTGATTCCTCATTGCTGCCTTCCTGTCCACACACTTAGCTGCTACTTGTCACCAGAGTCACCATGTCTCAACGTCAAAAGAATCCAGAATGTGCAGCTGACCAAGGCCAGACCTGTGAGGAGACCCGGAGCCTACAGGTTGCAGCAGTCTCCAGCGATGTGGAGGAGCCATGTACCTCCTCTCATCTTATGGCTAGTAGTCTGAAGGGCCAAACCTGTGAGGAGACCCAGAGCGTACAGGTTGCAGCTGTCTCTAATGATATGGAGGAACCATGTTCCTCCTCTCATCTTATGGCTAGTAGTCTGAAGTCTCAGACCTGTAAGGAGACTCAGGGCCTAGAGACTACACAGGTCTCCAGGAATGTGGAGAAGCCATGTTCCTCCTCTCATTCCCTGATGGCTAGCTACCAAAATGATCCTGCAGATGAGACACCCAGCACTTCTGGGGGTCTTCAGAGTCCCTGTGCCTCTTCAAGAGAATCAGGTGAGGCTCTTAGCAACCAACAAGTGCAGAGTTATCCAATCTATCCAACATTTCAACAAAACACCATGAATGTACCTATGATGAGTGTTGATAGTAAAGTTGATTTCTTGGTGAATTACATGCTGTACAAGTATCAGATGAGAGAGATAATGAGCATGACTGATATATTGAGACTCATTGTAAGAGAAGATCAATATCGTTACCACGAAATCCTCATGAGAGCTGCTGAACGCATGGAAATGGTCTTTGGTTTGGATGTAAAGGAAGTAGACCCTGTCAACCACTGCTATGCTCTCTTTATCAAACTAGGTCTCACCTATGATGGGATGCGTAGTAATGAGTATAGCTTTCCTAAGACTGGTTTCCTGATACTCATCCTAGGGGTAGTATTCATGAAAGGCAACCGTGCCACTGAAGATGAGATTTGGGAAGTGTTGAATCCAATGGGGATCTATGCTGGGATGAATCATTTCGTCTTTGGTGACCCCAGGAAGCTGATAACCGATGAGTTTGTGAAGGAGCAATACCTGGTGTACCAGCCAGTAGCCAATAGCAATCCTGTACAGTATGAATATGTGTGGGGTCCCCGGGCTCGATTTGAAACTAGTAAGATGAAAGTGTTAGAGTTTGTGGCCAAGGTTCATGGGACAGACCCTACTGCATTCCAGTCTCAGTATGAAGAGGCTCTGATAGAAGAAGAAGAGAGAACCCTTACCATGATTTTAAGCAGTGCTGGCCCGAGATCTAGTTCTGGCGCAAGTTCTAGTGCCATGGGCAGCAGCTTCCCTCATAGCTAGTACAATCAGAGATAAATTACTCCTGTATAATTTGCAGAGAGTTTGTAGAGTTGAGGAGAAAATATAGGTCCTAGTTTGATACAGAGAGGAGGGAGAATATTATCTGCATAGTTCTAATTTGTATGTGTACCATGCCATTTTTTCTTTCACTTTTTGGCCTTTCTATTTGAACATTGTTGCACTTAATAGCGTTGTTGTTTAGCTTCAAAAATCTCCACTTAATGCCATTCATAAATTTAGTAATAAGAGCTTTGCCGTGGAATGAAACTAATTGTGAAATAATCTCATCTATCTGTATAATTACCTGGAGTAGTAAAACATACTTTTGCTAAGCTTCTACCTTTTAAACAGTGTTGTGCTGATGTTTTCTTTGTATGGTATATGTGGAGTTGCTTTGCATTATAGTTGCCATGAGTAATAAAATTCAAGAAATTTACCTCATCTTTCCAGTCTCTTTTATTACCCAAAACTCATTTGAGCATCTATTATTTTTCAGTAATTATTTTACTTTACTAGGATGCTACATTAAACAACATGTAGTCCCCTCCCTTTAAATGTATTCATTATGGTAATATATCTTCTAATAGGTTAAAGACAAATGAAAGATAGAGTTTGCAGGTAAAGTGATCTTTATGATCTTGTTAATTATAAATGTCCTGGAGGAGAAAAAAATGGCTGTGGTAAGATGAACTTCTTCAGAGTGTTAACTTTAAGTTAAATTTTGAGGTGGAGAGAATTGATGTGTAGTGAGACCTGCACATGATACACCTCAAAGCTGACATCCAAAAGTTTAATGTAAAACTCTTTACTAGTTACTTTGTGGTTTTGATAATTATAGACCCAGTTTTCATGCAGAGTAGAAATTGTCCATCTCTGACCCCACCTCTGTGCAGTTGAATGTTGATCATAAACTTAAGGTTTTAATTGCAAATAATCTTAAAAGATGTTTTTGATAGTTAACAGTGAGACTCAGAAGCCACCAGGTTGGCATTCATTGCCCAGGGCTGGTGAAGTTAGAAAATATTCCATTTAAGAAAGATTTTACATAGATTATCTTTAATATGATTTGAATTGTATATACTAACACATGCTTAATTTTTAATAAAGATATAAGCAGTGAGATTATTGCTGATTTAGATGAACATGAGGAGTTGGTCCTTGTCAAAAGCTGAAGGAATTTTTACATCACTGAAAATAAACCCACTTCCCATTTTTAAAAAAATAACATCTCCTTAGGGGAAAATTACTGGGTTTTATTTAACTCTTGTTTTACTTCATATGAAGTTCCTTTTCTTTTTTGGGGTGGGGGGGCATTGTTTGTTTCTTTGGGGTTTTTTGTTTGTTTTTCAAGGCAGGATTTCTCTGTGTAACAGCTCTGGTTATACTAGAACTCACTCTGTAGACCAGGCTGGCCTCAAACTCAAAGAGACTCGCCTGCCTCTGCCTCCCAGGTATTGGGATTAAAGGCGTGTACCATTACTGCCTGGCAAAGTTCCATTTCTTATGGAACTTCATGTTCTGTGGGATTTGTGATTATTTTAAAATTTATATAAGATAGACTAGTAGAGTCACTGGTCAGAATAATTATAGTAATACCTCCAATTAACTAAATACTTCTAGTATATCAAGCACTCTGAGGCTTTCATAATTCCCTATTACAAATAATCTTATATGATAACACTTATATTAGCTACTTTTTCAACAGTGTGACTGAATATGACAGAAACAAGGGATTTCAATCCACTGTAGTGAGGAAGGCATAGTGGAGTCACTCTGTCCATGGTGGCAGGAACACAAGGCAGCTACTGTTCACATTATGTCTGACCAGAAAGCTGAGAGCCATACCAGTACCATTGCCAGACTATAACCTAAAAAGGGGCTCTGCTTCTGCCAGCCAGGTCTCACTTCTGAATGGTTTCACAGCTTTTCAAAAGAGTGTCACTAGACAAATACTCAAAACACAACACAGGTGACATTTTAAATTCAAAAGTCAGAACTTACCAGATTTCCTTTCAAATGAAAAGCCTAATACTCAAATAGCTTGGTGTGTGAAATGGCTGAGACTGAACTTCTGATATTAATTCTTCTAGATCCATTTCTACACTACTATCCAGTCTTCTGTTTCTTGCTTCATTTTTCCCTGGGGTTTCTCATATTGTATGTTATAATAAATTGGACCCTGAATCTGAAGTATTAAAATTAGATGAAAAAGATTATTAAACACTGTCAACATGTTTCCTGTGGACTTCGTTAACAGTCCTCCACATCATTCTGTGAGCTGACTTTGAAGGGGCTGACAGTTTTGCCAAGATTCAAATATTTAATGAATTATAATAACCTTGTCTTGGTTTTTTGTTTTAGTTTTGTTTTGTCTTCTTTGTTTTGTTTCTGTGTGCCAGAAAGCTCCACCACTTAACTTTAGAACTCCTTCTGAGAGCAATACCCTGTCTCGTGCAAACAGTCATTTTTGCATTACAATTTACTTCTGATCATTGTCACTAGGAAGATATGATATGTTATCAGAACAATTTCCAAATAAATGGCTAAACATAGTATACATGGGAAATCTAGTCTATGGCATCAATGATATAAGACAGATTTTGAAAACTATTTGCAGTAGGATTTTAATAGGACTTTTTTGTTTGTTTAACAATAAATACAGGAACTATATATCAGTGAATATCCTTATTTTGGTGCTTAAAAGCCAAAACTTCTCTTATAAGTGAAATATGAGAAAAGACTATCAAAATGATTAAGCAAATAAATACAAAGTTTCTAAATCCTGTATACACTCAAGTTCTAGGAAGGAGAATAGATTCCTTGTAGACATTTTATATTTGAATAATGTTGGTTAACTGATTAATTTGTTAATAAGTTCTATTTTAATAGAATTTGAAAGTATTTTGTTGCAGTAGTCAGTTAATCGGCTGCTGCTATGTGTTTCTGGGGATTGAGCTCAGGTGATCAGGCTTAGCGAGGGCACATTTCCCCAGTGAGGCAGGCATTGCCCAGGCTCTTAGTCTACATTTTTCTGTGTTCATATGTGCACATTTGTCAATGTTCAGGCATTATCAGTCAGGTAACAGCAAAGAATCATAAGTTGATGCTTTGTTAATCTCCAAAGTAGTAAGAAAATTCACAGTGTATTATAATGGTAGTAACTCTTGAAAAGGACACCACAGATTTGAGTATGTGTAAGAAGCCTATAATGCAGAGATTAATGGAGTGCTTTTGACAAATAGATGTGGCCCAGGCTTTAAAAGTATTTGTTACATCTAGGCTCTCCAAACAAATGACTTCAGAAACTCAAACAGGAATTGAAAAGGGGTATTGCCAATTATTGGGCAGCATTTAGCACCTACAATGTACAGTGTGTAGAACAGACTGCACGTGCCCATCTATATTCTTTCTCTTTTTCCTGGACTCATGAAAAGACTATTGGCTTTATTGACAGATTGGCCTGCAATTATAAAGGATCATGTTACTAGTTCTTGTCACTAAATTATAAGTAGAAGTAATGTTGTTTACAGTACTTGAGAGCAACTATGTCACCCTTACGTTTTCTCGTCTGTTCAGCGTGGAGATCACAGGTGGAGGTACTAAAGAACAAGAGGGCAGTAACAGATAATGTCAGTCTGTGCTTAGTAAAGGTTAGGCTAAATCCTGAGATTTGATCATAGAATTGCAAATTAATCAGGTCCCTTATGCCAAATCACTCAGGTTTCAAGTATTTCTTTTTTTTTTTTTTTTTTTTGTTTTATACATTCATTTATTGTTCCTAGTTTCGTTCCATAACTTAGCTATTGCCAACAATGATGAAGTAAGTATTTTTGTAATACATTGACTTTGAGTCCTTCGGTAGTTTTACTTTCAGGAAGCTCCATATTGACTTATTCATAGTGGCTGAATTAGTAAATTCCCACCACCACTATATAAAGATTCCTTTCTTGATCCATGTTCTGAACTCAAGAGAGCATTATTGCTTTCCTTAAGTCTTCAGTCTTAGCATCAGGTGGATCCTGTTATTTATGCACAGGTTCATTCATTCATTCATTCATTCATTCATTCATTCATCATTTGTTTATGCTCCTGTGAGCCAGTCATTCTGCCCCTGTTGTCTGTATTAGTCCTTTATTTACAGCTTTAATCATTGCTCATGGCCTGGATTCTTTCATGTAGTGCCTCTCTCACATGATTCAACTTGTAAAATTATTTATGTATAAATCCTGAACTTCAACTTGTCTGAATGAACCATTTGGACATGGATACTGCTTTGATCATCTAGCTAACCTATAGAATCAGTTCCTGAATTACTTGAAGTCCTAGTCACAAAATGAATGCGTTTTACTCACATGTCTTCTTTCACCCGCTCCTCAATAACCATATTTTCATAGGCTTCATGGCCTAAATTTTATGGAAAATAACCAGAGTACTAATAAATGGAAGAGAAATTGACTGATTAATTCTTTACAAACAGAAGACAGTCTGTAAAACTTTTAGTGAGAAATACTAAGTGACTGACTTACCATTGCTAAAGTGGTAATTCACAATGAATTAGCTACAATAGTTACAGACCTTTGTGCACCAAGTAACATAGCATCAACATATATTTTTGAAAACAATGCTTGTAGGGTTCATAACTAGGTGAGACTGAGGGTTAATCTTCTCTGTTTGAATGCTTTTGGGTTGGAGCCAGCTTGATTTCTCTATGTTCTAAGACTCCAATTGGTATCCTCAGCAACAGGTTCTTACTGTTAATTTTTAGAGGGTAACCAGAATGAGTGGCAATAGACTGTAATGTTGGGCATCTATAGGAATATCACTTGTTAACAATACAAAAAAAATGGTAACCCATTCCTGAGACTAGCATATTTATTTAATAGCCTGTGATGTCTCAGAGGGATATTATCACTCTGTTACTGGTTAACTCCATTTCAACTAATATATATATATATATATATATATATATATATATATATATATATATATATATATATATA